GAAAGAGTGGCACGTGGCATATAGTTTGACCCATTTTTCCAATGGGTCAAATACATCCACGTGGGATTTGCTATAAATAGAGATGAGGTTGACCTGTGGTTGGTGGCTGGCTGAGATCTTTGCCTTTTTTTAGCCCATGTCCGTTTCCACGGACGCAGGGGAGTTCCGTACGAGAATCTAGAAATAGAAATACAGAATAATAAATGTGGACGAAAAATGACATTTAGTGTATCCCAATCATGGAACTTGAAGGAATGGTGTGATCATTGAGCTTATGTTTACTTACAGGTATATTCTGTTGAATCATTCTTTGGAACTGTGTGTGCAGATCCATGACTTCAACCTGGCACTTGTCTGAATAGGTTGGAGACTGAAGCAGAATGGTCATTCACAACGGTTGAACCAACTCGATTTTGCTGGTTTTCCATTGTCTGTAACTGAGGTTGTCCACACGTGGGCTTTTGGGAGTTCAAGATTGGAGGAACCATGGAGCTGTTGCCGACATTGTTCTCAAGTCTTGGAGGTAAAATAATGAAGTGAGATTTCGGGAACTTGAGCATTTGATATATTATGGTTGAATTTGGACTGTGCTTGCAACACGGCTATGCAAGAAGTATCCATTCTGTTCCCAACAAAAGGCATTATTACACTGTTATGCCCATTAGACCTTCCAAGAAGCAGAGGGTTCATTCCTGTCGCACTTTTCACTGTTTCTTCTGCCATTTTCACCTGCATCAGGGGAGACATACCGTGGAGATTACTTCCAAGTCACAAGCAAGGACAAAAGAGCAGCAAGCAGCGCATACTGCAAAAAGGAAAACTTAAAACATCAGCAGCACCATAGCTAAGCTCGCCAATCTTCAAATTCAAGGTCTCCTTTGCTTCAGCACCCTCTAGTCCCACCGACCCATTTCAATCTTGGACCACCAGGTCGGCTCTCACTTCTCAGGGAATGGCTCAAATGTTATATAGGTCACTGACAATCCATTAAGTGATTCACGTCACCAAAAACAGAAATGGTTATACAAAAAGTTTGACTCTCATACGAATATTCTTATTTTGCATCAAAATCGTTTAGTAATTGTACAAACATAAAGATAAGTAGGTTGAAGGAGAGAGGAGAGAAGTGGTGTGTACCTTAGCTAGTAATGTCTCGATATCAGCTTTTAAAATTCTATTGCGAACAGCAGCTTCATCATACTAGTGATTCACGCCACTGAGTTGCTAAAGAAGGGGCGAATGTTCTACCTTCAATTGACTAACCTATGAGGGGCCAAAATAATTCTCAGCAAATCTACAATCAAGAAAATAAGGGGATGAAAAGATTATTCATCAGCCGTTCTAAGGCATTGTTACGTGCACAGAGACCTGTGTTTCAAGTTCACTCATCTGTTCATGCTTTCTCCTTCTGGAACGTCTAGCAGCTTCTCGATTAGATAGCATCCTACAAATTAGAAAGATTCCATTACAGAACAAAGTTTGACAACGGTTTCAATTGATATCAAAACGGTAGAGACGTGATTATTCTAATGATAAAACCACCCAAGATAAGTATTACTAGGAGATAAGAGAAGAATCTTCTCAGTCTATGTGTCCCTAAAATCAGACATAGGTCCAGTAACAATGAACAATAATGTTTCATAAGTGAGCTATATACATACAGGACAAAATAAAAATCATTTTCTGTTGCCAACGCCACATAGAAAGTTCTAATTAGCACACAGTAAACTTCAAAGGAGATATAATTCATACAAAGAAAAGAAAGGGATTTTAACCAAAAAAAAGGGAAAAGAAAGGGAGCAGAAAAAACATACCTCCTAGCATGTTTTACATCCTCTGGGTCGAAGTGTCCAGCGGTTTCAGTTTCTCCTTCGAGTTCATCATCATCAGAATCTTCTCTTGAAGATCCACTAGTCGCCTGCTTCAACGGTAAATCTACTTTTTTCCGCTCAGCTGGTAAGGTAGAAGAAACATCAAGGCCTACCAAAGAGCCAAGTATGATTAAAACACGCGTGTGAGCCTCCAAAGAGATATTCAAAAGACAAAGATTAGCATCATAAATATTATCATGATACAGTAATAGACTAATAGGTACTACTAATATTAATCTAACACCATTAGAAGAATAGCCATAGCAATCTCCATCTCGTTGGTGTTTCTGAAAAGCATATTAATTCAAAAAAAAAAAAGCAAGAAGAAGACTGGAACTTGTAGGACACTAACAAGCAGTGTGCGTACTTTGCTGCAGAGAATAAGTCATACCAAGATGAACAGGGAAATGGAAAAGAACAAGGTGAAGCTCTCACCTTGAATAAGGGGTCCCGATTGATCCGGAAGAATTTGGGTTACGGGCGAACTACTCGCATCTTCAGGCTTCACAGATTCAGCCTGAGCAAAGTTTTTACAAGGCACCAACTTTACGAAGTGAAATTATATACACTATATCAACCAAGCGAATGAACACCAGTAAAACTCATCCGGAACTCGAAGTTGTTCTTATGGCAATCGCACACTGTAGAGACGGGAATGGATACTCACAGATATAGATACAAATAGAGAAAGAATATACCCTAAGAGCGGCCGCAGCATCGAACTCGGTCTCGAGCTTATTCTGGAGAACGCGAAAATACTCATCGGAATCAGCGACAACCGTCGGCGAAAGATCAGAGGGCATGGAAGTGTTCCGATTTCCATATAACGATTCCCAACGCGATCCTCGTCCTCAACGTCGTCGGTTCCCGAAACATACGGCTGAGACTGCGCCGACGAAACACTGATCGCGTTCCCGATCGCTGACGATGTGGAAACCGCGCTCATCGGCGACGACATCTCTTCGAGAAACATCTCGAACATCCACTCCGACTGGCTCCGGATAATTCCCTCCGCCGTAACTGCCTTCGGCGGATCAGGCGATAGAGGCGGGGCATTCCGACAAGGATCTGAGAAATCATCAATGGAGAACACTGTCTTCATCGCTCTCCTTCTCTTGTAGCGTGGCCCGTTGAGTTGGGAATGTTCTGTTTCTTCTGGAGGAAAATATACAGCAGCGATTTTACAAACGTAGCGTTTGCGTTTGAAACGCCAGGCGGTCGAGCTCGCGCCGTTTCCAGCCACAAACTTAGGGTAGTGTCGTAATTTCGTTCATAGGAAAGGGTAATCCCGTCAACTCGTGTTATCCATCGGATTGTAAAAACTAAAAAGCCCAGTCCTCCTCCCCTATTCGCATTGCAATCGCGATCACGAGTCAATCGAAGGGAGAAGAAGAGAACGTAGGTATGTAAATTTCTTCTTGAGCAAAGAGTTGTGAAAATTTTCCCATCTTCAATCTTGTATTCGATTTCAGATCCGAAAAAGGTTAGGCAGTGGTCGAATCGCAGGGTTCGGAAACTGGGTTCGGTTCAAATTACCAGCTTTTTCACGGTGGATTGATTTTGTTCTGTGTAGTTGAACCGATTTTTTTTAATAGAAAATGGCTGGGAGAGCTCAGATCCCTACAAAAAACTCCGCTCTCATTGCCATGATCGCCGATGAGGTAACGACGTTTGCAGAGAAATCATCTCTTTTGGCTTCTTTTTGTATTGGGTGTTTTGGTATTAGTTCCTGAGATTCAATGAACTCCATTGGCGGGCTCCTTTGGAAATTATATTTACTCGGTGCTAGTTTATTGAACACTGCATGTAGAACCAGTTATATCTGCAGGACGAAGAAACCAGTTTGTGTTTTACTTGCTCAGGAATACAAATCCTTTGCAATGTCGTGTGTCCAGGCCTTGTCGGTGGCAGCATCTTACTTGTCTTACATGTTGTGGATAGGACACTGTAGTTGGATTTTTGATGGCTGGAGTTGGTAATGTTGACTTGCGGAGGAAGACAAATTATCTCATCGTGGACTCGAGTATTCTTCTAAACTCTCTGTTGAGATGGTATCTCTGTCCTGGATCTTGTTAGTATTGGTCATTGACAATTGGTTTTAACAGTGTGAGGCCCTTTTGATCACTTATCTTGTTACCCTTTAATATCCTGTTAGTAGTCTAATTGGACTTTAGAACAAAAAGTTTTGTTATTTGAACTCCATTATCACATTAAACTGCCGTGTCCTTGTTGTTAAGGAGATAGCTTCTTGGCCTTTCTTTTGGTTTCCCATAGTTATATCCTACATGAATGTATTTTACCTCTAGGCGCTTTTGTCTTGTTCAGTTAATGTCTTCCCATATAACTCATTTGTTTCTGCTTTCTTGTTTTCGCTGCCTCTTTTGTCTGGTTGACCTTTAGAGACAACTGTGAGACAAATTGAAGATGCTTTCAAGGAGTTCACTGCAAGGGAAGACATTGCAATTGTCCTCATCAGCCAATATGTAAGTGCTTTCTTGCAACTCTGCTCTGGTACATGTGTTGTGTCCATGATGTGTATGTCCTGAACACTGCATACTTGCATTCACTACATCATTCTTGAATTACTGCAAATAAAAAAAAACCCGGTATGCTTTATCTTTTTTCCTAGGTTGCCAACATGATAAGGTTCTTGGTGGATAGCTACAACAAGCCAGTTCCAGCAATCTTGGAGATTCCTTCCAAGGACCATCCGTATGATCCTGCCCATGACTCTGTTCTCTCACGTGTCAAGTACTTGTTCTCTGCTGAATCGGTTGCTTCTGATAGGCGTTGAGCATATTATGCGTCACTACCCGGCAACTCTCTCTGTTCACTTGATTGTACCCTGAATTCTCTCAACTGAACTTGGTTTGTATCATTTGTTTCTTGATGACATTCTTCAATTTCCTTCACAACCCACCAGGTTTTCAATAATGTAAAACTCTATTTATTTTTTGGGAGAGGGATGTTTCATTTGAAAGCAATGGTTTACACCATTTGTTTTTTCAAAAGATTACAAACATCTCGGGTACTCAAAAGGACATTATCAAAAATATATTTACTTTGCTATTTTGACTTCAACACATAGTTTCCTCTGATTATGTATAATATAGCATGGTCACATTTTGATTCATTGTTCATAACGTTAAATTTATGATGTTTTAATCAAATGATTAGTAAGATATATAAGATATGAACATAATAAATTAGTGTGATCACCATAAATTTCACGTTATAATCAATAAGATCAAAATGTGACCACACTATATTTTGGATATATATATTGAAGTCAAAATAGCAAAGTAAAAGTATTTTTGATATAATGTCATTTGAACGGACTTGAATGATTTGGCAAAGGCTTCAAGCATTTGTGCAATAAGAGTGTGAGTGTGTATATATAAGTAATGAATGGTGATAGTTTTTGTTTTGAGTTTTTTTTTTAGTTTTTGGTTTTTGGTTATGAGAGTTTTTATAAAACATGGAAAGTGAGTTTATGGTTTTTACTTAATTTTTTCAATAAAATGATTTTTAGAAAAAGTAAATATACAAAATCTTAAATGGATTTTATTTTTATTTTTAGATTCCAAAATCTGGATAAAAAAATAGCCATACGGTAAAATATGAGAAAAGCCCAATTCATTGTTGTATATTATATTACAAAAGCCCATAGTAGTAAATGGAAAGGCCCACTTGTGGAAGATTTAAAAAATTTTAAAAAAGAGGTAAGGGCAAAACTGAAAATTATGAAACAAGTAGGCCCTTTTTCATCAAAGACGATATTTTTCTAACAGAGCATAAAGTCACTCTTTTTCATCTTCCTTTCTTGTCTCTGTCTCTTCGTCCGCATTTGCTCAGCAGACCACCAACAAATCCACCCATTTAAAAAGAAAAAAAAATCTTTTTGTTTTCTTAAAAAATTCCGCATGTAGATGCTGCTTGTGGCCTCCGACTCGCTCTCTTGACTCACCCCGACTCACCCGAGTCAGAAGAATCTACTCGCCATGGCCAGTGGTAACCCCCATGAAGCTCCTTCCGACCAACCTCCTTCCGACGATTTCTTTGAGCAAATCCTCGGCCTTCCCAACTTCGCTTCTCCTTCCACCGCCGGTCTTCCCGGAGCCGACGGAGGGCTGGTAGGTCCACCGCCTCCGATGTTGCTGCAGCTCGGCTCCGGCGACGAAGCTTCTCACATGGCCGCCATCGGAGGAGGCAGCGCCGGTGGGTTTCACGGTGAGATATTCCCGTTGGGTTTGAGCCTGGAGCAAGGGAAGGGACCTGGGTTTCTTAAGCCTGACGAACCTCATGGAAGTGGGAAACGTTTCCCTGATGAGATTGTTGATAATCGATGTTCCTCTATGAAACCTGTAAGTCTGTAATCTTTTAGGGTTTCGAAAGATAACAGTTTGTTTATGCATGTTTGGTAAGAACACGAACTACTCGAACTCTCAACACACAAAATAAATTGTGGGCAGATTTCTTCGTTTCAAGCGATTGCCGTAGAGACGTGTAGTTGAACAGTGTCAATGCCCTCGCTGCGGTGGCTGTGGTGTTCAGATGTCTGAAAGTTACATATTTTGTTTTATTTTAGCAAACCCAAGTTGAAAAGTTTCATCTTCAATGGCTTCGTTTGCTTGTAATCAAGTTCATACTAGCTCATATCATGTGAATTCTTGGCTATTTTCCTGAACATATTGATTTCTCAAGGCTATGGATTAGGAATTCGGGGCAAGAAAGATATAAAGTTGTTTTAGGAAATTGTAAAAAATAAGTGGTCAAAGATGATTGCTTTGTGTGTTTGTTTGTATGTCATTTGTTTAAGATGTATTGTGTAGCTTGAGAAGAAAACAAGACAAAGGCTGATTAGGTGTCTTAAGTACAAGCCAAGTGTTATGATGGTTAATCTTATTGCCTGAACTGTTTAAATGAACTTATTGCTTGGGGTTTAAATTGATTTTTTTTTTGTATAACGTAGCAGAGAAGTCTCTGTTCCACTTGTTTAAAGTTTGGCAAGCTCACAGTTTTTTTTCTTTCTGGTTTATTTTTTCTTCTTGGTGTTGGAAGGTTTTCCTCGGGCAGCCAATGCCACAACCAGCTCCAACTGCACCGCATCCACCATCCGCAATTCGCCCGAGGGTGCGGGCTAGACGAGGTCAAGCCACTGATCCACATAGCATTGCCGAGCGGGTTAGTTTGTTTGCAATGTTTGTTTGTAGACATGTCTGACAATTCATACGGTAGTTATGTCTGATATTTGTTAATAGTTAAGATAGGTCTTGTGATTTGTGTTTCCATGGATTGCTCATTCAGCCATGATATCTATGCACCTAGAAATTGATGCTTGACAACTGTAGATCAAAGATGTGTATGAGTCAAGCGCAAACCTTTTCTTTTCTTTCGGGTTTCTTCTCTTGAGGGAAAACCCTCTCGGTGGAAAGACTTTGCCCTTCTCCTCCCGCCATCTCCCTGGTTGTCATAGGCCATTTTATGGCATCATAATGTAGCAACCGACTTTTCCAATGTTATTCATAGGTATAAGGTATTTAGTCAGGAGAAATTTTGTTGAAACAGAAGGTGTTGCATGGTTCGTTTTCTTTGCCTGGAAAGATCCCTGGGATAGGTTTATTACTATTTACTAGTCATGTAATCGACAATTCTGGAACAATAACAGTGAATACCTTTCTCCTTGCCACAGCTACGTAGGGAAAGAATAGCAGAGAGGATAAGGGCTCTGCAGGAACTTGTACCGACAGTGAACAAGGTTAGTATCCTTCTCTTGCTGTAAATATTTGGTCTTTGTTGTAGCCATCTCTCGTTTCGCCAAAGCACAATTTATGAAAAGTTCTCAAATGTAGCCCCTAACATGAGAGAAGTTAATTCTTACTTCTTAGTTATCACAATGGAAAAGAAAGAATTAGCAAAATTTGGCTGGTGAACAAAGATTTAACTCTTCGAAACCAATGGACATTCTGTTATTTGTTTCTTTGTCTATGTTTCAAAGGTATTGTGGATGCTTGGCTATGTTTCGTATATTTTTTCTCAGCTGGTTAAAGACATACTGAATTTGGAGTTCGGTAGAGTAAGCGACAGTTCTTGTTTCATGTCATTTGCCTTTTGCAGACAGATAGAGCTGCTATGATCGACGAGGTTGTCGATTATGTGAAATTCCTCCGTCTCCAAGTTAAGGTATGACTGTTTCCAAGTGTCATTTTCAGTTTCAATCTAAAAAAAATCTCCTAGTTTACTTCCTCATGAATATCTCAAGTGGCTGGTTGTAGAACAAGATTCAAGTCCACTATATGCTTCTTGGTTGTTCATACACTAACATGTCAGCCCTTCCTGAACATTAGAAGTTAGAACTGTGGGTACTTATATTGAACATGGGCTGAACAGATTCCAATTTCTGGATAGATCTGTGGTCTAGATCCTGGTCCCACCCTTACAGACCTTAAAACCAAATATAAGTATTGATCAGATATATATTTTTTTAAATTTTTATTCTTATTTTTGTAAGAAGAGTATAGGATGTGTCTTGTCCTTTTAGGACAAGTGATTACTGTTCAGCAGCCCCTTTCTAGAAGTTCACATGCCTTAGTTTTGGCATGTAGTCTCTCTCCACTTTTTGTTTTGCCATTGGGAATTATGGGTTTTGGATTCCCAAACGAACATCAATCATCATGCTCATACATCTCAAAGCCTAAAACTATGGAGTATAAGATTATTATAGTTGCCTTCTCCCTTGGCCGTACAGCTAAACCAACCTAATGATGATTCTATCAAAGAGGTTGCTTAACGTCCTCGCAATGGAAAAGATGTCCCTTTTACTGTAGATAAATGGGGACATTATAGTATCTCTAAAGAGTTATGCAATGATGATGGGCCATAAGATGAAATCTTTTTTTTATCAGTTTCTTGTGAAACCTCCCATGATCATCTTTGAATAGTCTCGTATGCTTATCTTTTTTCACAGGATTTTTAATACGTTGAATGTTTTGCGGGTCAACTTTGGCAGGTACTGAGCATGAGTCGTCTCGGTGGAGCGGGTGCTGTCGCTCCACTTGTAACGGATATGCCTCTGTCATCATCAGTAGAGGTATAAAGACTAAAAAACTATGAGTGTGTCAGCATTTTCAACATTGTAATCATTCATCACTCTTTTTTGTCTTGGTGCTGTTTGACCAAAACCCTTCACAGGAGGAAGGGAGCGAAGGAGGAAGAACGCAGCCGGCGTGGGAGAAATGGTCGAACGACGGGACGGAGAGGCAAGTGGCTAAGCTGATGGAAGAGAACGTAGGAGCAGCGATGCAGTTCCTGCAGTCAAAGGCACTCTGCATAATGCCAATCTCATTGGCGATGGCCATTTACCACTCTCAGCCAGCATCTGATTCACCATCAGGGATCAAGCCAGAGACTAATCCCCCACCATAGGCTCATCACTACCCCGAACATGGTTAAAAAAAAAAACCAGTGAGCCCCTCTTCATCCCATCTGCCGTATGCTTATGTTTTTGCCCCCTTTTTCTTTTGGCCTCTGCCCACTTCAGCGGGAAAGGTGATGATGGAATCAAAGTAGGGTGTGGAGTGGCAAAGGAAATTTGTCAAAAAGCTCAATTGATTAGATATTATTATCAGCTCTGCTTTCTTTTCTTTCTTTTTACAAGGTGGACTTTGATGAAAGCAGCCTTTTTTTTTTGTATAACTAGGAAATAACCCGCGCGGATCGCGCGGACTAAAAATACATATAACTTTTTAATATTTTATATAACACATTTTGTTGTTGGTTTTATAATTGATATTATTAGATGAAGAATTTTTTAAAGTCTCCTAATAACATTTTTTGCAAATTTTTAAGAGAGACTATCTCAGTAACTTTTGTGTTTACATTTTTTTATTGAGTATAATTTTTTTTAAGGGTTATGGACTATAATTATAATAATGGTTGAAATGTTAAGTACGTTGGACGATTCGACGGTAATAAACTACAGTAATTACAGTTTTTTTTATAGAGGTGAGCATTTTTCGGTATTCTGTTTGGGTTATGATCGTGAATAGTTCGATTCGGTTCTTTCGGTTTTATAAAAATTTGTACCAATCTATTATTATATTATATTCAATTCGGTTTCGTTTGAGTTCTGATTTGGTTATGTTTTTTATTAAAAAAATTATATCTTATTAAATTTTTTTTGATTTTTTAGGTTTGTTAAAATTCTGTTTGGTTTCGATTTGATTGCCAAATATTCTATTTTTTAAAAAATTAATACTATTTGATAATTTTAAAAGATTTGAATCAATAAAATATCATATTTTTCGATTCGGATTATTTCTGAAACGCCCACACCTAGTAAGTAAAAATGTGTATAAAATTTAATTATTAACGTGAGACTTCATAGTAAATGGGCGGTTGAGATTTAGTGAAGTATAAAAGTAATGGTGTAGTTTTTCTCCCATTATAATTTTGAGAGTTTTTTTTATTTAAAATAATTTTTGATGGTTACAAAGTCATTTTTGACTCTCAAGTAAGAATCACTCTTGATCTCCCTATGTCGTCTTCGCTGCTGGAAAACACCGTATGTGCGCAGCTTTGACCGAAGTTCCTCTGCCTCCGACGTCGATTCCTTTTATAATTTTGGTATGTCTCTTCTTCCCCTCTGCCATTTGTGATGATGAGATTTTATTATTATGGTGATCGTCTCCGATGCAGGATAATAAATACATATAAATTTAAAAAAAATTTATTTTTAGGTTTAACGTTAAATATATTATATTTTGTTTTTAAATTTATATTTCATATCTTTAAACCAAATGACAAATAGTTTTGAAAATACCGAGTATCATTTTTTTAAAAAGTAATTGATAATAACGTTCTATATTTATTTTTATATATATTATAATATAAAATTAAAGGTTCGAAAATAATACTGATACTACATTAATGTATCTAAGATTTTGTATCTTTATACTTTTATTCTTAAAATATAAAATTAAAATTATTTCATATTTGTATGCTATATATATTTTTATCATAATAATAATAATTCAACAATTCATATGAAATCAATCCACTTTGATTTAAATAAATATCAGTTGTAGTCTCATTTAATTGAATATTTCATTTAATTCATTTGTATTTTATTAAATTTATTTCTTATCTTTTTTCTCATCTCAATTAGATTCATTTGATCCTATAGAACTCATACTAAGATCTTCGATTATGCAATGAATGAATTAAATTAATTTGTCACTCATGAAAGATCTATCATCGTCTCATAAACCATCTATGATAGGAGTTGGAGTTTTAAAAAAACGCTGCTTGTGAAACTCAGATAGACATTATTTAAAAATCCAATGGCTCCCATAGAATCCTTACACAACTAAATTCATAAGAGTTAACATAAATGTCAATAAAACAACTATTTACTATATCTTGATGATATTTGTCGAAAATCGAAACATTAATAGTTATAGTGAAATTTATGTATTCATTTGATATATGTTTTCTGTTAATACTATAATATTTTGTAGAAATTTATGTTTTTGTGAAGAAAAAGAATGATTTTGATTCTTCAAATAATAAATAATGGAAAAATTTATATTATTGAAATTACATTAGAATAAAATAATTATTTTGAAAATAATTTTATTTTTTTAGTAGAGTATATTAATTTGTTAGTCAACTCAAAAAAATTGAAATGAAATAAACAAATATATTTAGATGTTAATATAATATAAATTATATAATCGAATAAAGATGAATCATCAAAATCTTTCATACGTAAATCATTGACTACAATATAATTTGTTATTTGACTATTTATTTGTAATTCCGATAAAATAAACGAATATTAAATCTAAATTTGTCAAAAATAAAGGGTTAAACAAATATCATTATCCGCGCGCATCGCGCGGTCTAAAAATATACATAGATTTTAAATAATTTATTATTAGTTTTAAAGTTATTTAATTTTATTTGCACCCTACTTGATAATCTTTTTCAGACGAAACAGTTTACTCATCTTAGCTTTTCATATACAATTTTCTATCACCAGCAATAAGAGACCATATATATATATAAAATATTATTCAATATTTATATGTCAACTTCTATCTTCTGACAGTGTTTGAAAGATCCTGTCAAACTTCTCTGACATTAATATATCTCTTGTCTTTTTCATTTGAATTCACCATTTTTGCTTCTGTCATCTCTTCCTCTTCATAGACGGATGCTTTACCAATCAACTATAAAAAATAATTTAAATTTATAGCATACTTTGAATCAATTGTATTTTGATCTCACAAAAAATAAATACAGAGTTTTAACTATAATTTAGACCTTAATTATTAGTTTTAATATATGAAGATTTTTTTTTTAAAATATAACACGTCACTTAGAGCTTTAAATATAATTTAGACCTTAATTATTAGCTTATGAAGAATTTTAAAAAATATATAACCCTTGTCACTTTGCTGTATAGGAAATATACTTGTATATATACCAATATAAAATATCAAAAGAGATTGTTTGCCTCTAAATTCACCCATCCTCTTTCTTGGTCTTCATGATTGTCAAACCATTTTCAGAAAACACGCTTTGGATTTGATTTTTTTT